CTGCCTTTAGGGTTGTATGATTTTTGGCCGCTACCAATCGCATCTACCACTTACTAGTTTTAAATTCAAGTCATTATCTGCAGTAGGCATTCCTATACATACATCCAACACCCTGTTTAGGATGTTGATGATCTTTTTTAAAGACTGTGGACACGTCGGAATCACGAGAAGAATCGCACGAAGAAACAAGACCGAAAAGCCGTCAGTCGAAGAAAAAAGTCAGCCCACTGTACAAAAGCGATCTGGAAGGTGTAGAAAAGTTCTTGGAGGAAGGGATGAACGAGTCATTGTCAGCGGTATGTTTCGGGTTCGTTCAAATTGTTATTAAAACTGCAAGCCAAATCTCGGTTGATTAACGAGAACGAAGGGATTCATGAGAGGACTGGGGCTATAAAAGAAGAATTTCCGGAGATCGCATCCAGGCAAACACTACTTTAGATCTTCTACGTTTTTTCAAATCTTTGCAGAAGGCCGAACAGTCCCGCCTGTACCTTTTCTTTGTTTTGCCCGTGTAACTTTCGAGCGCGTCCCTTCAACGGTGTAGTTTTTATTTTTTTTATTTTATGGCGAGGTTACAACATAATACCCTCGCCTTCGTTTCCTGACCCACCTCCATAGTGGCGGAGACGTTGAGCTAGGATTTTATGTGATGTGGTGGGTTTGATCGGAGCCTGTCCTCATCTTTCCATTTTGTACCTTTTTCAAGCTTCTGCGTGCAAATTTTAGTCCTTTGGTCGAGGGCAAATAATAGATGAATTTGAACATTATCACCGAAGATTTTTGGTGTTTTTAGGTGGAAGAGGCGAAGATGAACATATCCCTGGCAGATTCTCTTCTGAGCGAATGGGGAACACCTATGACAAAGCGAAAACGATCAATATCCGAACAACAAAGTGCATGGGATAAATCGGACAGCGCCTTGCTTACGAGTACTCCCGCGAATCCACAAAAACCACTGAGGAAGTTCCACTTTGGAAGTGCGAAATCCACAATGTCTTCCAAGAAACGCTCCTCCACTTCATCAGGCGATGGCGATTCACCCTTACGGAAAAGGAAAGCCATTATTGCAGAAAATGCAAGTAAACGTTCGCGTTCCAGGAGCTTTTCCAAATCAGAGCTTAAATCTCCAGCTCGGTTTTCAAAAGAGTCGCATGTTCTATCTACTCATCCTCTGAGAACTCGAAACGTATGATGTCTTTTTTTAATTTTTAGTTGCTCTCTGTCCCTGTACGTTGTTCATATTCTGTGAAACTAATTGCAAGCATTCAGTTCAAGCCATCAAAACCTATGAGGTCTTATACCGTAACACTTAAGTAGCAAGTTTCCAAAAGTCGAGTTTTTTTTCTTTTGGTGTTTTGAGTGGAGGCTTAGAGCGCGTTCAAACTTCGTGATAGTCGCTTGCATC